GAATTGTACGTTGGACTACTGTTCCCAAAACGACCGTGCCAAAATCCAAAATGTAAGATGGCAAACGTAGCCTGCATTGATCAGATAAATATCACATCAACGGCTTAGTGTAATATATCATTAGATAAAAGATGTTCATTGGAAAGACTTTAGTTTTTCGATTTCGTTTAATGGGTGAAGTGATGAGAACACCTTTGTTATCTGAACATTTCCGTCTCACTTGCTCGTCTAATAACCAAAAACATCAGGGAATACACACCACTTGGTTTGATTCACGAAGCACCCATTCCAGCGAAGATAAAGCATGTACCATTTTAGTCCTTTGAAACCTGCTTTCAATGCAATAGTATCGTGTGATCATATATAAAACTACATTGAACATTAACGCGGATCCATAGGAATCAATAAATCTTAGTACAAGTCACAAATATGTTAATGAATGCCTATCCAAATATTCCCACCAATGACGAATGCAACTGCCTTTGATTTTACTAAAACTTTACCAAATCCATGAATTGCAAACCCCAAAATAGAAATCTATGAGGTTGTACTGAATTACATCATGTCGTATTGGGAAACCGTTCGTATTCGGTCACATTCAATCACAGTTGTGAAATCTTTAGACAACACATATGGCTTTTATCGTGATTGACACGAACCAGGGGTGATGGCGACACGACCCTGAGCAGTTAGCCGAACCAGTATCAGATTGACCGTTACGACAAAATGTGTAGAGAGTTGACCGACAATTTTTGCATTCCTATTTAACCTTCATCTCTTCACACAGAAACCCTCAACCAAAGAGAAACTTTCGTCGTAACATTGACAAAATATGAGGACGAAAATGGAAACTATATTGAATGAACTGATGAATAGAATAAATATATCAGAACGATTCTTGACTTTATTATTCAGAATTCGAACCAGATAAGTTGTCATGCAAATTCCGGATAAGAATGTGCAAGATACACCAAGTTGGTGTTTGGAGGGGGTGGATGAATAACAGATTTGCACACAAATGTGTTAATCGATCTGATAACTGGTTTCATTGAGAGCTCTCAAATCGATATTCTGCAGCGCACCGAGTAATAAACAACGGACTGGACAAGGTAATGCCACACTGGAAGTGTTGATTTTCTGACAGGAGATCAATGGCGAGTAGATGTCATTCAATATATAGGCAAATCAAATCCTCTACTACTTTCATGCAAATTTCATTCAATCGGCTCTAAGTTCCCAGCCTACATACATATGCGAATGCCGCCAGCTCGTTCTCTCTCTTTGGGTACCTAGAATGCCCAAAGTTCTCCTTCGGCTGCAAAGTTCATTGATGGGCTTCATGATCGCGCTCAGAATATTAACTTAGCACTCCCATCTCTCTCTCACTGAACTAATATGTGCAATTTTCTTCATTTCGTACTCGATTGGATTAACCCCAATAGACCTTTGACTGCTATGCGTACGCGGCCTGAGTTTGACCCAGTGAGTGTTTCATTATCTCTGCTGGGCTGTGAAACGTAGTCGTGTTCCACAGAATTGCCATCAAACTATTAATAGTAGTAGTATTATGACTAATATGCAGGTGCAGATAGATCAATACCAATAATGCAAAGCTGGTGGCACCAGCTAAAAGGAAGGAGGAAAGATTATTTCTCAAAGCTCTGCATTCGGTCAATTTGTTCAACCGACACCCCGAGGTAGACAAACATTACGCAGCACTCGTAAAACCCGTGACGACGATGGATTGATAGACGCACAAACAGCACACAGGCGCACGGGTAATCCAATTATGTCATTCATTCCATTTATGTTTGATAACGAGTCCTAGCTTGGATCGAAACGTTACAATAAACATTTTACAACTCAGTATACGCCTCCATGCGATGGGTCCGGAGTTCAAATCTCGGACGGTGGGACGATGGATATGCACCACTGATGAGCGAAACTCGAGTCGAGTGCTTCCGAGTGTATGGTTGAATCGATGAACAGAGGATTGCGCGTGAAGGTGAAGTCCGAAGGATAGTCAGTTCAAATCAATCAATATATATTTATTTATGAATATTATTACTGTATATATGTAATTTCGGAAGACATTTGGAGGACTCACACTAAATCTTTGTGACTAAACTTACTTATGAGAAGCTGCATTTCCCGCCTGTTTCAACAGAGGTTTTGTAAAATGTGTAGCCTGAGTAGCCTCCCTCTCGTTTGTTGTTCTGTCTATCATTTTTCTTTGTTCCTCTGAAGCGAATCGTTGTTCCAGCAATTCACATAGATGATAGCGTTCGGCCTCCATTTGTAGTGTAATATCTGGGATACGTTCCGATATCCAATCGGGAATGATGTTTGCACTATTCAATGAACGTTCAAGAGCCTTTCGAACTGTTTTGGCAACACGACAGGAGGGATCATGTAGGAAGAGAGGATTTAATGCACCATGTACCTCAATTTGGCGTGATTTATGTAACCCATCTTGCTTTTCAGCCTTTTGGTTCAGCTTGTTCCCACGATGTTTATGGCAAGAACAGACAGCCTTGAGGTTTCCTTGATTTGCGTTACTCTGTAGCTGTTGTGTAACATAGAGGTGCAAATCAGATAACAACTGAGTCATAACAATCTCATATGCAGGTGCATCCGAAGGCCCAGTCTTCAAAAAATCTCCAGTATCGTCGCTTAGTTCTCTAATGTGTTTTCGTTTGTTCTGTGACGCATAAAAGCGGGGCAGATCAAGATTTATTCTAGGAAAATCAGCCAATCCGCGAAGAATAATCCTCTGTGGCGCAAAATGAGCGACCTGAATCATAATAGCTCGTTCAAAAACCGACGGTTTACGAGCTAAATATGTGATCTTGATGTTACAAACCTCATCAGCGCCTAGATACCCATTGGATGGTTCAACTGTAAGTTGACCAGTGACGATTTCGTTCACATTGGGTTCGTCTGACAACTCAGCACACTGTTCTTCCGAATAGCAGTCACCTGGGAAAATACTGAATTCGAACCCTACTTGACCCGTATTCATCAGGACAATTTGACTCACAGCTGGTTTATCATAACGAACTGGGTCATATATTATTTCTGTCCTATCTATGTCGTATTCTATGTCGGATGCTCCTCCACTGAGTTCCACAGAGTAGGTTGGGCCACCATCTACTTCGCACAGTGCTGTCACAGAGGCCTCAACATCGGCGTGTCCAAAGAACACAAAACTGACCGACTGACTTTGTCCCGGTTCAAGTTCTCCATAAAGAGGTGTAATGTCAAACAGTTCTTCTATACCTAAAGGAACCACATCATTGTCTTTTTCCAGAAGTTCTTGCAAAATTTCATTTTCAATCGGTTTCAACCCGTCGACTGACAAATTTTCATTATCTTGTAGATCGGCAATTCCTTCGCAAGCATCTCCATGCTTTTCTGAAACGTTTTCTCCTCCAGGACTTTGGATTGGATCTATTATTCGACATCCTTGATCATCTTCGTCAGCAGGATCTTCATTTTTCGGACAATTTACCTCTCCCATTTGATGTTCAACGGCTAGTAATTCTTCTTGGATTTGTTCTATTTTTTCCACTTCGCTTTGTTTCGGGTTTTGGTCGTCGAGCATAGGACCGTCTTTCTCAAACCCAGAGGGCTTTAATCGAGTTTGACGCTTGAAAACAATGTTTGTGCGCTGTCCAACCAGGAAACTCCATCGAAATCGTACTAATAGCGGACTTGTATTGGTCATCAATACGTGACGAGTGACTTCTGTATGATTGAGAATGTGGCCAAAAGATACACTGTTCGTATCAAACTTCAAGTTCGGAAAGTGTACTTCACCGATTAGACGGATCGCATCCTACCACACAGAAACAATAAGAAAAATAGATATCCTATCAGAAGCGAATGGCAATCGAAAAACAATGTTTCACATGGCATGCGTGTGTCAATAACTCAGCGTTGTCTGCAGAAGGGGTAATAAACTATTCTTTCAAGTAAATACAATGAAAACTATTGCAGCTTATCTCTGGTTGAAATGGTTATTGCTCACATTGGTGTCGGAGGGCACTCCTACCGGAAATGTTGTTTCCAGACGCCATTAACCATGCTAGGTAACATTTTCAGTGCATAAATGTCCATGGCATTATTGCGTGATTGACCGACGCTACTTACTAACTCATCCGCAAGTATGCGACGCACAGTTAACCTACTGTACGAAGGATTGGTTTCTGTAAATCGGATTTCAATAACGAACCGTCCGCTATGGTTAATTCACTGCTTGCTTGACCGCCCAGCTTTACCCCACCCCAATTGCATATAACTTCTGAAGTTGATGATGGCAGTTCGCCAGTTTGTCTACTTTGCTTACGTTCGTGTCATTAATGCAGTGGTGATCTGTACCGATAAAGAGCTACCTACCAACTGTTTTCTCTTACAATCGTGCACATAGACACACTGCATAGAGCACACTTACCGGGGTAATCAAATCGTCCGCTCATTATCACATTTGCAGACACTTTTGTCTAACTGGTAAATTCACATCCTCAAATGAAAGTTCCATAGCACATAACTGTGAGTAATTTTCCTCAATACAAAATTTCGTATCAATCTCCTTGATAAGACTTCACTTCTATTTGTTCCAGCAAGCTTTCATCAAGAAGACCTGCAATCGGGATCTTGTTCGCAATAACACCAATTGGTAATCCCCCAGTGAGTTTGCTCCGTAAGATATTTTGACAAACTGGATACGCTATATTTCATGGGATAAGATTTGTTATTACCAGTTATGTTTTCATGTTTCTCATAATTAACTAGCAGTTTACTGTGAATAGTGCTAAGGGAAGTATCAGAGATTTGAACTGACCAGCTTTCCACTTTGTCTTCAGGCACAAACTTCAGTTTATCTAGTCGACCATACATTCGAGAAGCACGTGATTTAAGTTTTGCTCCTCTTACAGCTTTATTCAGTGCTGCATAATCGCCCTCACATTGCGTTTTTGGAGATGAAACGTCCTCGTATCCATAAAGGAATTAACGGTCTATTGGTCATTGAATACAGAACAACAGTGACGAATTTCAAGGACTTGATACGCCATTGTAGGTTTCATATATTACCACATTAAAAGGTTAGATTTACAGAACGCTACATCGAAACATGATGTATGCAATCACGTACCGTCTGCGGATGTTGTTCATATCGCAGAAATAGCAACTCGTCGGCCCGTCTACTATGGTTGTCATTCTGATAAACTGGATCAAATTCCACGTGGACAGTGGCAGTTTCCTCCGCTTGTAAAAACAAAATCTGAGAATAGGCGGGATTGAAAAATCAGGAGTCACTAGCATACTCTCATACATATTGGATATTGTTTTACTAAAGCTGGGATGTGATGTAAATATCAGACAGTTCAATCAAGATTATAAATAAAACTGTCCCTTTATTGAAGGAATATTTACTGTTACTTTTCAATCCAGTTCAAGGTTTTAGCAAATGTTGTCGTAAGTAAACGTATACAGTGTTTTTACCTTGAACTATGTACGACTGCTTCATCGAATAAACTTCTAGCAAACCATTTATATGGCTTAATTGATTAAACCGTCTGATCAATGACCCATCACGTTCGGATTCAAACGACGGTGAGTTTGTAGATATGTACTAATGACGACCTTTGATAAGTATAAAGTGGTTCCGTGGACTTTCAGGGCAGGTGAAAAGCTAACATTCAGAATGAATGCATCGACTGGAGGGCAACTGCTTGAAAGTTCAAATTAGGTATAAGTGCTAACGTTTATGAATCCTGAAGAATGTAGTGGTAGGTAATAGAGTGACGACTTCAGCAACGATGTCTCCTCTTCTCCGAGGATGGGCTTCTTGCCTTAGAATAACCGAGTTCTACTTGTAGAGAAACTGGGTGAGTGTGATAACTATCCAATGATGAATTGGATATACACACAACGATGCTTTCAATGGACATTTTCCGGTTTTAATATCGAAGGGATCGCTCACTAGATGATAACTCATCACATCCTTAGAAACCCTAAACTATCGCAACTGCTAATTTGGTGAAGCAATAGACATCTATTTATATAAATAATATCAATATTCATGTATGTGTTTACTTTATCAAATATACGATTGTACAATGAGGGAGCTTCGACCAATTTAAAACTACTTGGAGAATACAGACAATAACGAATTCGGGTGGCAGTTGTCAAGCCTGTGATCTAGTGACCTTTGTTGTTGACCTTGATAGCCACCGCATGATTATACATCTGGATGGTCACTCTCCAATCTGAGACCTAGAGATGGGCTCTGTAGGTTACAACTCAGTTGGTCGTAGACTTGTAACTATCTCCCGCTTCTTTATCAATCCATCCATGAAACTAATTCTCACATAGGACCAAACTACATCATGAGCGGACACCTACTGTCAAACGCTCAGCACCCATAACACAATGAAATTTCGAAGGCTTTTCCACATCATCCACAGGCATAAAGTTAAAACTTTTATTTGCACGTACCTCTTCATATCCCAATTCTTTTTTGCCATCCACAGAATTACGGAATTGCTTGCTTAATTGTCAAAGGCGACATCCGGTAGTTTCAGTTCCATCTTCTATGGTTTTGTAAATATGCATCCACAAATATGATGCAAAATGCTGAAAATTTGCCCATCCGGGTGCACTATAGTCTACTACTGATTTGAGTTCACAAGGATACCGTATTGATTTGATTGGAAAGATTCATCACGCCACAGGTTTTGCTCCGGTTCGGTTCGATTAACTGTGCACC